CCTCCCTATGAGCCCACTGTGCTCTCATTCCTGCACCACTCTTGGACCTATTCCTTAACTAATAACAAACTTTATCTACAAATAAATAGTAATACATGACAAACATAAGTCCATTAGTCTGAAATGATTTTTAAATTCTATATTTGTCTTTTCTGCACTCAGACATATTCAATTCCAAGAAAATAGGGTTTAAAAGGTATTTAGGCAGGTATTTACTGCTGTGTGAGACTGGTGTGTGTGTGTGTGTGTGTGTGTGTGTGTGTGTGTGTGTGTGTTTGTGTGTGTGTGTGTGTGTGTGTGTGTGTGTGTGTGTGTGTGTGTGTGTGTGTGTGTGTGTGTGTGTGTGTGTTTGTGTGTGTGTGTGTGTGTGTCTCACCTCTGCCTGGTAGAGCTGCAGCAGAACAGGCTGGTCTGCATGTCGACAGTAATAAAGCACCATGTCAGTCAGCAGGTTCTCCGTGCTGCTCACTTCCTTACAGGCAGGCTGCACACACAACACAGTCAACATTCCAGTCAATATATCAGAACAACTTCACCCTATTTACAAACAACTTGTGAACAATTATTTAAAAACTCCTAATTTTCCATAAAATGCATAAAAGGGTCCCTCTTGTTTTCCCTTAAGTTTGTAATTGATATCATCCAAAGAGGCAGGAAGACATTTCTCCAAGATAAAGCTATGAGACGATTAGCATGGAGGACGCACTTATCAATTAAAGCTCTCTTATTTTTATTGGATGATAGGCGTAGTTGGAATCACTTCGGGTTTAGAGGTCGTTTTATGCCTATCATCCCGTCTGCCTGACACAAAACTGACTCCCTAGAAAAAAATCCAGGTCTGTTACGTGAGCAGTTTTTCTAAATGTAAAAGCTTATAAAAAGTGCCTCTTGATGTCGCTGAAGGAATAAGATGCCAAAATCAACACTTTAACATGAACTGTTATCTTGAGTGATGTGATGAATGGAGCAGAAAGATGGCGGACCTGACAGAGGACTTCAGAGGACAGGCTGAGCAGACTGAGGACGTTCCTCTCGTACCACGAGTCCATCAGACCCAGCATGTGGGCGATATCAGTGGAGTCCTCCGACACACCACCATTACACTCCTGGAACAATAAAAGGACACAAGGGAATACAGGAATTACATTTAATTATAGTTTACTGTTAACATGTCTGTGAAAAGTAGTATCTGTAACACCTTCTAATGAGTTCTGAATTCTTGATTCTGATTGGTCAATTTTTTGACTTTCTGGAGTCTGTTATTACTTAATAGCAGACTGTTGCTAAGAACACTCTAATTTGTTCTTTCAAGTATGGAAAGTAACGTTTAACACACCAGGGGTAGTTTATATTGTTATGCACAGCTTAGTTGAATACTAGATTCTGATTGGTTGGTTTGGAAATGAGTGGTCTATTATTACTTAATAGCAGACTGTTGCTAAGCACGCTCGGATCAGTTCTTTCAAGCATGGACAGCAAAGTTTAAACTAGTGATTCCACACCAGGGGTAATGTATGTTGTTACACACAGCTTAGTTGAATACTTGATTCTGATTGGTCGATGTTAGACTTTCTGCAGTCTGTTATTTCTCTATAGCAGACTGTTGCTAAGGGGACGCTCTGATCTGTTCTTTCAAGTATGGACAGTAAAGTTTAAACTAGTGATTCCACACCAGGGGTAATGTATGTTGTTACACACAGCTTAGTTGAATACTTGATTCTGATTGGTCGATTTTAGACTTTCTGCAGTCTGTTATTTCTCTATAGCAGACTG